ATTATATGTATGCCTAATATTCATCAATATAAAATATCCTTGCCACAATTTACCGGTAATATATTATATACTATACTTGTATATATTATATGTAATAATAAGTGATCAGGATTAGGATCTCACCTCATTTGAAATAGAATCATTTAGAAAATTATCAAAACTTGGAGAAGATAAATGTTGATTGGTGGGTTCATTCTTCAGATTTCTGGGTCTAGAAGGTTCAGTACGTAATCGCGGTCTGTGCCCTACATCACTGTTATTACATAAACGACTCAATGCATCATACCATCGGTTAATTTCCTCCCTGTAGTTGTCAACCAAAATTATAAAAATTAATACCTAATAATGATTATAATACAAACAAAACAATAAGGATGATTATGGTGATGATGACAATGATATTGATGATTATGATTACGAATATGGTTATTATTAATATTATTATTATTAGTAGTATTATTATTTGTATTGTTAATATTATAATTGTTATTATTGTTATTATTATTATTATTATTATTATTATTATTATTATTATTTTTATTATGCGGATGCTTATGATGATGGTGATGATGATGGTGATGATGATGATGATACCAACTAATTCTGTGAAACCAAAACGATTAAATTATATTTACTTTCGTGTTGCGATCAGGAAAAACGTTTTGTCCTTGTGTTCAATACAGAGGATGTTGTCGTGCTTGCCTTTTTGAAGTTCAATGTTTTTACATTCTTGGATGTCCAAGGAATACTTTGGGTCTTTGTTTTCTTTTTTTTCTTTTTTCTTCCGAAAGCAAGTCAGTAGGTTGTTTTCCAATGAAAAGTACCGTTCTTTACCCGTCTTACTCTGAAATAATTATAATATTTTGCATAACGATATATACCAGCTGTTTTAGCTTAAAATATTTGAATAATAAAATGGCAATATATTATTATTATTATTATTATTATTATTATTATTGCTTAAAATATATTTAAGTAAGTTAGCTTTTAAATATAGTTTCTAGGGGAAAATAATATTCACCAATTTATCGACACCAGAAGAAAGAGCTTAGTCGACTAAACTGTTTTCATTATAACCGAATACATGCAAACAAATTGAACAAATAACTGCACCAACAATAATCTCAACCACTATAAGTAAAGTAGTATATAAAAGTACTTAAATGCTATAAGTACGCAAATAATAAACAGCTAACAACAACATTAAAAAAACATTCGAAGATTAAACATTTTATATTTAACTTAATCATTTATAATGTTGAGCTTCTCTACAGTATTAGAAATTAAAACAGTGGAATAGAAAATATAACGATATAACTTTACCTTTTTATTGTCGTACTCGCAAAGTGATCCAGATAAGTCATTTTGGTTTGCCATCGTCTTAGCTTTATAAAAATAATTTTAGTAATAGGTATTTAGTACATGCAAAGTGGTAAAATCGCTCAGATTCAACTGTTTTTGTCAGCAAAATAAAACCCAAAGAATATTTTTTCAACTTGCTGTGTTTAATGCTATTCCTAGTATGCTGGGATTTCCGTATTATAAAGCTTAACCCTAAACATACCAGATTTCCTCAAGTGTCTACCATTAGCAACCGAAATACAAATGCACTTGTATCAGCATGCATGAATCAGAAAAAATGAAATTGACAGTAGAATAAAAAAAATTATATATAACAAATAAATATTTTTTTCAACTTGTTTTGTCCAATGCTATTCCTAGCATGATGGAATTTCCTTATTATTAAATTTAACCCTTAACATCATACCAGATTTCCCAAAGTGTACTTCCAGTAGCAACCGAAATACAAATGCTCTCATATCAGCATGAATCAGAAAAAAATGTAATCGACAGTAAAATAAAAAATCCAACACATTATATATAACAACTAAATATTTCTTTCAACTTTTTGTGTCCAGTGCTATTCCCAGCATGATGGAATTTCCATATAAATAATAAATTTAGGATAATTAATGGGCCTATCAAAATCAATTTAAAAAAAAAAAATCAGAACCACAGCTAAGTCTCATCAGTTTTTTAAAGGAAATAATTTGGAATAAACTTAATGATTTTGATCAATTTAAACATGATTTTTATTTGATATCTTAATATTAAAAACAACTAAGCGTGAAGATTTTAGGCTATAGACATAGACGCCTGTTTCATACGCTGTCATGAACATGTTGACGTAAAGTACATGTCTGTAATTAAGGTACAGTAATGCGTATTAGATCCACCTACTAACAACATCAAAACTTACCTATTACATACTTATTATTATTATTATTATTATTATCACTTACTTATTATTATTATTATCACTTACTTATTACTTACGTATTGTTATCAAGCTTGGAGATCCTGTTAGTTGTGGATGCAAATGATCAAATGGCGCCCGTTTAGTTCTGCTGCTAGTATAAGTGGATATAGTATTACATCGTTAGTTTAATATGGAACTTTAGGGGAAATCCCAGCAAAAGAAACTTTGGATTGAGATACTGTATCGTGTTGACAGAACACGTCGTAACTCATGGGTGAAGTTATTTCAAGTTCTATTTTGATATAACGTGTTTTCCACAAGTGCTGTTTAGCGTGAAGGACATATTATTCATTCTAAACAATAGGTAGAAATAATATTAGTTAAATATAGGCGCACGGAAGAATTAGCAAGGATTCAATGTAGGCATACATAAGTTTGAGATTTTTATTTACACAAGCTTTTGTGTACAAAGTACACTTTTTTAGATGAAGACGTGTACTGTGTACACGGAGTAGTGTCAATGCAATTTCACAGTTCACAGTTTAGTACATGTTATGGTGTCACAGTGAGCTAACTGTTATGAGTATACAGCAGTAAATATGCAATGAAACGGACCTTTCTTATATCAACCAATCACTTCACATCTTTCTTTGTTTAACATGGAAGACTGCCCATCAACATTTAATGCCAACAAAAGTCAAATTTTTCATGATGAAGGTTAGTGTAATCTCAACGTTGTGACAATCAACCAGTGTTTTTTTCCTAAAAGCAAACAAAACATTCCCCGTGACAATCGAAACAAACGGAAGTTTCATTATTTTATTATTTTTACTCGCCATGAAAACAACGCCACCACCACCACCACCACCATCATCATCATCATCATCATCATCATCATCATCATCATCATCATCATCATCATCATCATCATCATCATCATCATCATCATCATCATCGTCATCATCATCATCATCATCATCATCGCCGTCGTTGTCATCATCATCATCATGGAAAAATTTTGAGCTGTGTTGATAAGGTTGTGCCATTGTCATGTGTAGGGTTTCGTACTAACAAACCGAATCATCACTCAATAAATAAGTGTCATTCTATCAAACTTTTATTAAACAAATGTATGCATGATACTTATATCACAATCACAATACTTAAGGTATGAAGGCTACGAGAAACCTAACACATACCACATTTTTCTCGTGTTACTATGTTTCATGTATATATCAATTTCGAGCTTATAAAATTTGCTCCAAGGTTGGCGATTGGCAATCCAAATAACGTATTTTGATTGGTGAATTATTAGTTTTGGTCCGACGACCCCCGTCGTGGGGGTCTTGCCTGTCTGACGGGAGGGCAAATGCCCTCCCGCTGGCTCTACCTTATAGTTGACAAGACAAATAATGGCGTTATCGATGCTCCTTGCCAAGTTTTATTATGATGGTTGTAGACTGCGGTTTTGTTTTGTCCGAGAATATGATCCTGAGAATTATGTTTTACCAGGTCCTTTGTATCGCAAAACTATTATATCTATCTATAGAATTTGAGTTATCAGGGGTGCAGCCAGGGTAAAAATAGAGTAGGGGTCAAGCCTTGCAAGTGAAGCGATCAACTTAGGCTGGGGGTCAGGGGCGAAAAGGGCCCCTGGTCAGAATCCAGGGGCCGGAGGCCCTTGGAAATTTTAGGCTATTTTACAAGATAAAACTTAATTGAGAGAGGTTTTCCCAGGTTAATTTCTATAAAACCTCTAACAAAAAAATCAGCTTCAATTTGTAAACAAGAAAATACATTTAGTGTGAGATTCACTTCCTCGTTCCACCAACAAAGGGTAATTATTGCCTATTTTAAAATAGGTCTTAAAAACAGGCATGTACTATATTACCTAACTGCAAGCATTTTCTTAATTGGACGTGAGAAAGCGCAGGCCTACTTATCTCAGGGGCGGATCCAGAATTTTTTTCCGGGGGTGGGGGATTTTAAAGATAGACACATCTAGATACCAAGAAATGACACTCTCAAACTACTCCCATACTATAATAACGATTATTCTAGTAAACTAATTCTTTAAATTTTCATCATATCCACACACTCCTTCGGATCATGACAAAAATTGAAACACTTCTTTATTAAAGCATAACAAACTGTTCTGCCAATTGTCATTTTTATCCATTGATCCATTTTCGAGATATTCAGTCGTGGGACCTAATGGTCCTCAAATTCACACCCAAATTTGGATCGTCACCAACACTTCATTTCTTTCTTGTAACTTGGTTAAACTTTCACGAAAGTTTCATTCAGATCAGTTGATTAATTTTTGAAATTTCTGGTCTGGGACGTTTTTCTTTGAATGGTACCTCATATGCACACCCTACGGTGGATGGCCACCAAAATTAAATCACCTCACAAGAGACACGCAGGAGCTTAAAAATTAAAATGACCCTCAAGCTCACCCTCAAATTTGGATCGTCTTTAACACTTAATAATTTTTCAGTGTAACTTGGTTAAACTTTCACAAAAAAAATCATTCATATCAGTTGATTAGTTTTTGAAATATTTTTTCTAAGGACGTTTAAAAATTAAAAATCGGTCACCAAAATTTAATCATTTTTTCATGGGTTATACCTAACACTCCCTTTTATTTTCATTTATGTCTGTGCAGCTATTTTTGAGATACGTCGTACAGAAAAACACCAAAACGTGATACAGACACACACACATACACACCCACACCCACACACACACACACACAAATTTACACGACTGAAAATATATATATCCTGGCAGAGATAATGAAAATATATATCTCCTGGCCGAGATACCGGTAATGAAAATATATATCTCCTGGCGGAGATAATGAAAATATATATCTCCTGGCGAAGATAATGAAAATGTCTCGATCTTTGAAGGCTGTTTTAACTAATAGATTTAGTACTCTTTGGAACAGACGGAAAACCACATAATGTAGATAGGCCCATGCCATCATTTTGTGGTTAAAACTCAATTTTGACCAAAATGGATTTGACACCTTTTGGAAATGAGCTCTTCATATACTATTGAGAGGAGGAATCACTTTGGAATCCCCACTGTTGTAAGAATGCTAAATGAATGTTATTTATTTAGATATATGGTATTCAATAAGCATTCTTACAACTGAATTAATAATAATAAAGATAGATCAAAATAAACATATTGATTCAAGTAGTTAAATGGGCATAATATAACAATTTTACTTTTTATAGGTGTAATGATTTGTTTCGTGTGCCTTTTTTGATGTTTAAAATTCATGTTTTTATATTTTTAACTTGTAATCGGTATTTTGTATGTAAATAATGTTTTTAGCCCTAGGGCTACTTCACTGTATCCTGATTATTTGCAATTATATTATTATATTATATATACAATCAAAACATGTTGTTATCGATATATAAAAGGGAAGTTGTTGACACTTGGTTGACACAACCAAAAAAGCATTAATAGGTCATTTTGTACCTCGGAAAAACGAACGGAAGTTCAGTTAGCCGTTGTGTCCTAATAAGTAGTTATATCAACAACTTTCACAGTGTTGATATATTTATCTGGTTATGTATTGTGGTTACTACTTTTTCATCATGTAGGAATGACAAATTCATATATTATCACGCATTTCATTACAAATAATTCAATCTATAAATGTTCATACCAATAAAATACGGTGGAAACATACAATTAAGTTACAAGTCCTTGGTAGAGTACGACGCGACAGGTATTACTTTCATGCCTTGACGCAGGGTTCCCGGAATGCCGCCCTCAGCGGCGTGTGCGAAGCAACCAAAGATCTTATAAACACAAGATAGCGTTCTCCGCGATTTACGCGTGCAAATTCTGTAATAAGGCATGAATGGCGCCCTCTTGCTAAATGGGAAACTTTTGACCCTTGACCGCTCTGACCATAACGTACACCGCGCGACTTTACCTTTTCTAGATGTGTATAAGAGACAGGCGCATCCCTTTAAAACAATTAATCAAGCTATTAACGTACTTGGTAACGAATTTTGGCGTGACGCGAACACATTACATAACGAGTAAAAAGTAAGAAACAACTATGAATAATTGATTAATTAATGAATGAAATGAGGTTTTGTGGAGGGAAATATTGTGTGGTTTGCAAGAGCAATTCAAAGGCAAATCCTGACTTTAAATTTTACAAATTTCCGAAGGACAACAACAGGTAAATAATGTTTCAATCAGCAATGTGTAATATTATTTAGGCCTAGGCCCAGAGTTTATTAGAAATGCAAATAACACAGTACAGACTGGTATAATTAATGATTTGTAGTATTTGATTCTGAACTCATTTCATGCTAGAAGATAATATAATTGTGATATTTTCTTAATTTGATTTTTTTTTTCAAGCATTGCCATTATAATTTTCAACTAGATTATATGAGCATTGACTAATAAATTAGTTGTTGATGAATAGGCATATAACTGCATTTCATTAACTATTAACTATATTTATAAGTCTGTAGGGCCTAGGCATATATAAAACATTTTCATTTAAAAAAAAGTAAGCAACAACTCAACACACTTTTAAAAATGGCTAAATCTGAATATTTATTAAACAGATGTGCTAAATGGCTCCAAAATACAAGACGTGTAGATTTAATGCAGAAACCATACACCTACATACAAAACTTTTTCTTGTGCAACCTTCATTTTGAAGATTCGCAAGTATTATTTACAAGAAAACTGACTTGGAATGCAGTACCCACAATATTCGATATTCAAAGACCACTTAAAGATGACACAAGAAAGCGTTTATCTCAAATCTATCCAGACAACCCCAATTCAAGCATGGATATAGATTTAAGTAAAGAAAAGCCACCAAAAAATGTGCAAGAAGGGAAGCTAGTGACTTCGTGTAAATCAAGTGAGTAATGGAAATAATTTATACAATTTAATAC